AGTATAGAAATCCGTATCCATCCAAACTCATAAAATGGTCCCCAACTCATATAATTTTTATGTTAAGTTTCATTACTCTTATTTCTTCTTTTTAACAGGTCGTACATTCACGCTAAATTTTGTTCTAATTACCGAGGTAGAGTTACGTCTAGATTCATGTGTAACACTATGGGATCAATATTTTCATATATGATCAAGATTATTTTTGTCGAACATTAGTCAACTAATCATCGGAATTCGATAATAGTAAACAATGGAATTTCTAAGTGAGAAACAAAGAACAATAACACTGATAAATCTGTTACTTGGTTGGCGTTGAATACACAAGATACTTTTGACAGATTACACAAACTACTTATGAGTAGCTCAAATGTACCACAATTATAGTGAGCTAATTAAAATGGGTAGTGTTATAAATATATGACTCTTGTTTTACGCTGATAAACCTATCTTACCTACAGACTTAGATTTATAGGTTGTATTTTTTACAAAAATTGTCCGCCTTAAACTTGGTTTCTCATTTAGAGCAGTAATTGCCACTCATATCTATAGAACATGACTTGCGAATTGATCAAAAATGAATGTTGTCACTTCAAAACGAATTTGATTTTGGTATTCAATGTGAAACAAAGTTAATGATAGTATTCGTAAGTTTGATTATTGACTTGATAAATGAAACGAAACTAATAGGGTGTTATAACTTGTGACCGCCGATTAGAGAGCAGTGGATTATCGATCGGACCAAGGACGCGTAAAACACGTGCGAGCAGCCTAGAGTCTTGATTGGTCCTGCTTTCCGTCTAGCCCAGCCAGTTAAGTCCGGAACACCAGTATCAGCCTCTGCATTATGAATCATTATATTTCAGACATACGGAGTTTATATACCAATCAAACAGACCAATAAAATATGAAACAACATTTGTACAAGAATTAGCCAAATGTGGCTGTGAATGAGGGAGGTAATAATTATTAGACTGGGCATAATTCAAGAATGGTAAACTGTATAATAATAGTTTATGGGTCAAAATAAAGCTTATAATGGAAGGAACACGAATATGCATAGTTTAGTTACTTAATAATTATACAATAGAAATATACGTTTAGTATTGGTCCATCAATAGATCCCAAAAGTTACTATTCATTATTCTTGTCGGGACATAACATAGGGACACTATATTGAGCAAAAGTAATAATTTCGGATCGTGAATAGCAGTGGAATATTGAACCTACGTTTCGTCCTGTTTAGGATTTATTACCTGGAGATATACTTTCTGTTTTTCAGTGTTGACCTTCGTATGCTCAGAACTGAACTCAGTACCACTGGCTTCTAGGTGCATATATAATATAAAGGATTAATTAAAATTCTTTCCTGTATACAAATAATAGAAAAAAAACACAAACCTTAACTAAGAATCTATATTCCGAATTATTTTCTGGTATTTAATACTATTTATCTGACAGTTATTTCCGTTGTCTAAGACGAAGTTGGATGGAGAATGCTGGTAGGCGGCCTATTCTTTGCCATGAGGAGCAACATGCATAAGGAAGTAATCCAACAGCTGTTTGGTGGCAATAAAATATTTTTCAATTTAGCTTTTGCCATAAATTTTTACGTCTAAAAATTACAAATAAATTCAGGTTTGTCTAAAGAATCCACCTAACAAAGTTTACAAATTGTATTCTTATGAATAACCAATATAATCACATAAGATATAAGCTTAAATAGATAAGAATTACTTACTACCATCAAAATCTGGTCTTCTGGATAGAGTTGAAAGAACATTTAATTTTGTTACATATGCGCAACCACCGACTGCCACGACGTGCGATGTTTTCTGGTGTAGGAGTAGGTTGGAAGAAAGCTAGGGACAACCAGACCAAAACATAGCACAAATCCATGAAAACATTGACAAGTGGACTGAGTTATGTTGGTAGGTGTAGATTACCTGGTTGGTTAGAGACCCTGAATGACATGGTTCAAAATCGTTTGCGATGGCGCAGGTGCATACACTCTTTGTGTTCTCCCAAATTCTAATCTTCTGAATTCTTCATGTCCCTTCCTTTTTTCTCTTTCCAAATTTATTTCACTGGATTATACTGCTTGAATATCTTCAAACCTTAATGTTTCCGATTACTGCTTATACTTTTACTACCTCCTCTACTACACGATTTGAATTGACAACTGCATCTCTGTGTTAATGTAGTATGGCAACTCGAACTGATGTACGTACATACGAAGTTCTACATTGTGACTGACTGTTAATGACTATTGATTGAATGACAAATACAATGAGGAAGTTGGTACAAACTCAAATTAACATCAAGTTACAAAAGAAACTGAAAATCTTGAGTCATCGAACCAAAGTAATTTGCTCCGACGATACCATGGAGATAGAGCCAGTATCTGTAACGCATATACCAAAAATTGATACCCAAGCCAATTCATTAAAAATATATGAACCGGATAAAAGTAAGTTCTTTGACAAAGAGACTATTTCGAAGAAATTACTACTCCTGAAATTAGTTTAAAAAAGATGTTGATTGTATGATACTAACATAAAGCTTAACTAAGGTATGACAGAACGTTCACTACAACGAAACTGAATATTGTATTTAACAAATGTTTGATAATCACGACCAAAAACACAGACTGTGCACCAATCCACCTACTCACGTGAATCGAGTTACACAAGTCAGTCATCGCATTTCTAAGCACCATCCGGCCTGATTGATGAATGAATAATGAAACGTGATTAAGAGTTTAATTCTTCTGTGCACTTGACTGATCCAGAATATCAAGTAGACTTGTATTAAATCTTTATAATTATCCATTGTATATAATCTATGGTTTATGCGTCCATCTTTGTATACTACTACAATTATATGGACTTATATCACCAAATTGAACATTTGTATCTAAAATCATTCGTAGAACTCTTCTTGCTATTCACACAGGCCATACCGAAGAGGGTCGAAATGAAATTGTTTACATCCTTCCTTTCTTTAAATATAATATGTGAAATGTTATCAACAATCTTATTTCAACCCACTAATCAGATATTATATAATTTGTTAACACTTGATAGGTATGTTTCAATTTTGGATGAACGTAAAGTATAAGGACTAACCAATCAGAATAAAGAACACGACCATTATTATTATTATTCTTCGTCGTTCAATTATTGGGTTTTATCATCAGTGATGGAGTCGTGGATGCACATTTCTGAGAAGTTCCATACTAGGACGGAATAGCCATTTAGTGCTTCCAGGTTTTTAATGGTTATCTAACTTAGATTGGTTTGTGATCTCAATAAAATTGAACAATATTCCCAATCCCTATGCTAATAAATCATTAGTCATTCGATATTATTTCTTTTAGCCATTTGTGAAACTGTAATCTTCTTACATAATAATACTACTATTTGTTTGGTATTGTCTTATTACTAGTATAAAGTCACTATGAAAAAAAGGTAATTAGGAAGAAACATCCACACGTTTTAAAAAAGAAAGTAACGTTCTTTTTATCAGATGTGGTGTTAACCAGGGATTATTTAACAGATTATTATTAGTGTTTGTTGAATTCTGTTGACTAAGTTGTAATGTAGCTACTAGTTAAAGTGACTTGACAGAAAACCCTGATCACCTTACTTTTTTGTCAGTATAAGGGGTTGTGGAGATTGTTAAGTTTTTGATTGAGATCATGAACCGATTGATGTTAGGCCATCATTGCCCCCAAATACCCTGGTACGACCGAAAGTGGGGAGAGTCAACTCTCCCTTTCGAAATGCTCTCATACGGCCACACGTATATAGCTTCTGACAGGGAAGTCCTACTCATTGCCTTCTCGTGGCGGGGGTGTTGCTTACGAAATTGACAGGACGAAAAGCGAATGTCCAGCGCTTTAACCGGGTTGGTGGACACGGAGAGTCTACCTAGAGAAGTTGGAAAACAGTGATTCCAAACCAATTCTCCACATGGGCTCCAGGATCCTGAAGGAACAAATGGCGTATGAACCAATCGTTGGTCACCGGCTATCATGGGACTGCATCTCCTTACGATGCTCCACTGCCTTGTGGACCAGACCTCCAGGTCGAAGGCTCCGGATGTGGCCCCCTAAGAAAAGCACCTGCTTCGGTCTGGGCACCCGGGCAGTATCACAGCCCCCACACAAATCAAATGAGATCTGTGTGGCGCATATGTATTTGGTGTCTCCTTGTACCAATATGTGTTAAAATAAATAAGGCCACTGTTGGAAACCTGGAAGCACTGGACGGCCATTTCGTTATATTGTGTTATTTAGCGTTCATCAGCAAGATTTAACTGTAATTTTGAGGAAATCGATGCCTCCAGTGAGATTAACTTTTCTTTTCTTTCATTCTACTTGTGTGTTGTGATTACATGGGTCGTTAAAAAAACATTCGTACTAGGTTCAACACTGGTTCTAACTGACTGACTATCTGTTACCATCAGTTCTAATTTTTAATTTGATGATAATCTATGCATTAAAGTGACACAAACAATATCATGTTAAAATAGTTAGGAGGAGTGGTCCCCTAAGAAAACCACCTGCTTCGGTCTGGGCACCCGGGCAGTATCACAGCCCTCGCACAAATCGAATGATTTATGTGGCGCATATCTACTTGGTGCCTCCTAGTACCAATGTTTATGTGTTTAAATAATAATAATAGTTAGAAATATCCTCAGATATAGAGATGGTTCAGTGTTTAGAATGTTCCACTTGCAACCACCATTAAAGTTGGAAGTTCTATACCTACTCCACCTACTTCAGCTTCAGTAACCGGGTAAGTATCGCTAGCCCTGACAATAGTACACAAAGTTATGCTTAGTAATTGAGAACCGTTGATTAAATGAACAACTATTATATCAATTGAAGTCTCAGTTCAAAGGGTGGAATTTTAGATAATTCAATGATGACAATAAAAACTAGACATGACAGCAAGATAGAAGTACTATGAAATCAAAGAGAAGAAAACACTTTAAAAAACACATTTATTCATGTGTACAAAATAATAAGGTAAAAAAGTCATTCCCTTGGTGTTTGACGCCATAAATTCAAATCCTTTTCTGTGTAGTACCATTTAAAAGATGTAGATCCTAATGAATTAGCCAATAGTCGATCTATAATCAATTGAGATGTATTTGAAGCAAGATTTCTAAATTTTGATTGATTTTGATCTTCACTTGACAATTGTTGTATCTCCGGTACAAATTCAATCTGTGTGTGCGTAGAGAAAGGGAGATAGACACACACAGAGAGAGAGAGGTAGACATTTCCATTAGAACACTACAAGTTGGTTCATCACATTAACAGCCAACGAGATGTGTAGAATTCAGTAAATACAGTTAGTAATTAAAAGTAGATGAGATTTTAGATGTGGGGAGGGAAAATATAGAATAGTATAACATTAGTAAACAATTCTTTCAGACAATAAGGCGCTATTGTGTCGTCATGATAGAGAATTTCAACGATCAACATCAAAGTAGTAAGTATGATCTAAATTAAAAATATTCTTTCAAAATGAATTAGAAGAATTTCCAATCCGAAGACATGATTTGTAACATTAAAGCAAATCTCAAGTCAGGATGTAGACCAATCAATTTACCTGAACAGCTTAAATAAGAAATATATGGTCAAAATAAATCCTACACGTTTTTGAGTAAAAAACAAATCAATTAATTTCATTCGTAGGTTACCTATTTTTGATCATAGATATATTTGAAACCATTTGAGTATGTTGGAACCATTAAGTGATACACTGGCTTCAATGTTCCGTGTTAGCTGGCATACGGAATAGATTGACAGAAAACTAGTGTTAACCAAACCAAATTGTGACATCAGTTTATGAAGTCACTGATTGTTGGAGTGAGCTATGGAGTTGGATATAGGCTACCAGTTTGTGATCTGAGCGATTGATATGAATCAAAATTGGTGCCGATGGAGCAGATGTATTTCCTCTTTGTGATACACGAGATCTTGAATTTCAAAATTATTTACCGCTTTTCAATTTCAAATTATCTATGCTTAATCTTTTCTATTATTATTGATACTATTACTACTGTTATCATTCTGATATTCGTCTTGATAATGTTATCAGATTGTGCTGACATAGTAGGGGGGAAACTTGGATCAATGTAAAAATCTGTGCAAGTTTTAATTTGCTTATGAGTGACTGAATTTCGTCAATTCCCATTAAAAACGATTCACAAAAAACACTGTCAGAACATAAACATTCAATTAATTAATCAAAATATTATAGTACATGAATATACTAAGAATAATGTTTAATAGGATATTATACGAGTGTTTTCCACAATTAGTCATTTATTTATTTGAACACATAAATACTGGTACAAAGGGCATCGAATACATACGCGTCACACAAGTCAATGCCAAAGAAGTCCTACTCAGTCTTCTCGCAGAGGGGTTGTTGCCTACGAAATTGAGAGAACGAAAAGCGAATGTCCAGCGCTCTAACCGGGTTGGTGGACACGGAGAGTCTACCTAGAGGAGTTGGAGAACCCTGATCCCAAATCAATGCTGCACATGAGCTCTAGTATCTTGAAGGAACAAATGGCGTATGATTAGAAGGGGTTTTGTGGAGATTTTTTTTAGAAATTTCAATAGTTGGAATCGTGAGTTAACTGAATCTAGACCACCATGGAAAACCTGGAAGCACTGGACGGCCGTCTCTTCCTATTGCAGGACTCCTCAGCAGTGTGCATCCACGATCCCGCTCCCCAGTGAGATTCGAACACAGGACCTATAGGTCTCGTGCGCAAACGCTTAACCACTAGACCACTGAGCGGGCATCCAACGGTGTTAATATCTAACTTCAACCAGTCCACGAAGTTACGCTACTATACACCATTGTCTTCATTGAGTTGATATCTCGCGGGGAGTGGCATCGTGGATGCGCACTGCTGAGGAGTCTCATACTAGGACGAAACGGCTGTCCAGTGCTTCCAGGTTTTCCATGGTGATGTAGCTTCAATCAACTCATGATTTCAACTATTGAAATGGCGTATGAACCTATTACTGGTCACCGGCTACCATGAGACTGCATGTCCTAACATTGCTTCACTGCCTTGTGGATCAGAACTTTGGGTCAAAGGCTCCGGGTGTAGCCCCCTAAGAAAACCACCTTCTTCGGTTTGGGCAACCGTGCAGTATCCCAGCCCTCATACAAATCGAATATTTTATTTGACATCTCCTTGTACCAATGTTTATGTGTTTAGATAAATAAATAAATAAATAAATAAAACTGCCCGGGTGCCGAAACTGTGTTTTAATTATTCTTTCAATTAATAAAACTAACCTCATTGAATATAGTATTTCTTGATCTTTCAATAAAGTTTAAACGATTTTGGAAAAAGTGTATACTTGATTCATTTGTCATTGATACTTTAGCTACTAGTGAATTTAATTTCATTGGTAAATGTCTACCAGAATATTCAAGTATACCAGCTAATGCTTCAGCTGCTAAACCTTGACCACGATATTTTGATTCAGCAATCATTACAGACAATTCACCTGAAATAATAAAATAGATACAAACTAAATGATGCATAAAACAATTGAAAAGGAAGAAGAGGAGAAAGAAAGTAACAATATTGGAAATAGAATTTCTCCAGTAAGAATTCACAGTCGTTTTTATGACTTATTTAATTGGTAAAATAGACAGCAATAAATAACAAGGACAAATTACCTTTTTATTTATTTAAACACATAAACAGGCACCAAATGGACATGCACCACATAAATCATTCTATTTATGTGAGGGCTGGGTACTGCCCGAGTGCCTAAACAGAAACAGTTGGTTTTCTTAGGAGGCCACACCTCGAGCCTTTGACCTAAAGGTCTGATCCACAAGGCAGTGGAGCAATATCAGGAGATGCAGTCCCATGGTAACGAGTGACCAACAATAGGTTCATACGCCATTTGTTTCCTTAGGATCCTGGAGCCCATGTGCACCATTGGTCTGAAATCAGGGTTTTCCAACTTCTCTAGGTAGACTCTCCGTGTCCACCAACCCGGTTAAAGCGCTGGACATTCGCTTTTCGTCCTCTCAATTTGATAAACAACAGTAGTGCCACGAGAAAACAGTGAGTAGGACTTCCCTGTTAGAGTCTATATACGCGTGGCCATATGAGAGCATTTCGAGAGGGAGAGTTGACTCTCCCCACTCTCGGTCGTACCAGGGCATTTGGAGGCGATAAATTATCAAATACTGTACGAAAACCTCTATTTCATTAACATCGATTTGAATAGTATAACTATCTCTAATAAAAGAATTTGTGCCTCAAAATACTTAGACCCATAGATATTTGAAATTTGGGAGTGACCTTGCTAATATTAATGAAATAAACTAGCCACAGACATGTAGTTACATATCAACGTTGTATTATGTTAACCAATACTCATTTAAACTTCTATTCAATATCCTTTCTAACCGGTTACTCTTGAACTCACAGATTGTTCTCTCCAGACTTTTAGAATCTTCATCTTTGCTCATAATCGAGTGAGCATATACAGAAGATCAGGGTACAACGCATCAAAGGTCATTAACTGTTAGCTTGAATTATGTAGCTGGCTTCCTATGTCTTGGTTGGAGTCTATGATATAGTTGTAAATCTATATTTGAAGGCTCTGTAGATGATACAGTTCAAAATGTTGTAGTACAATGCAGAAGTATTCATTCTTTTAAAAAAATTTACATTCATATCCCAAGTTTTAATGTTTGCTGTATACTCATCATTTCAGATTAAATTTATTCTTCCATTTTGATGGAGTTTTGTTCTCTGAGCTGGATGGTTTAGTCTTGGAGCTTTCACCGTTTTTCTGAACGGCATCAACAGCATAAATTTCTATAAAATATATATCCTATGAATCCATTTGGTGTTGTTTTAGTTGTATCTTCCCATTGTTACTTAGGACTGCAATTGATCAGTCTCATGTTGGCATATGTGCATCCTGTGCGGATTGCCTCGGATATAGCCTTAATTCAGAAGCTTTTTAAACAAAGATGGATAGTGTCTAGCGCGTCCTGGATTCTACTGCTTAGAAGTGGATTTAAACTTCACCCCATTGCACAAGCAGATGGCTATCAGAACTCAGTGGATAACGCGATGGCGTTTGATGCGAACGGTACTGGGTTCGAGTCCCGGAATGAACATCAACTCTGGGATGCAGGTACATCCAGTTGACGAGTCCCAAATAGGACGAAACGCGCGTTCTGGTTTCCACTGCCATCCACCATTCATCTTTGCTTATATGTTATATCCTAGTGAAGATTAAATTATAGGTAACTTCGGAGGATTATTAATGGACTAATATTGTATAAATATTCTTATTGTATAACTATTCAATAATTAGATTATGTATATTTATATTCCTCTTATGATAAGCTTTATTTGGACCTATAATTTATTATTGTACGATTTACGGTTCTTAAGTTATGTTCAGTTTGTTGATTACAGTATCCCATGTTCACAGTCACTTCTTGGCTTTATTGTGTACAAATGTTATTTTCTATTTTATGGTGCGTTGCAGTCCGTTTGTTTGATATATAAACCCAGTATCTCTGAAATAAATGATTCGACTCGATTCGATTCGCATATTGGAAGCTGGTATCGGTGTCCTGGACTCAAGTGGACGGGCTAGGCGGACATAGGACCAATAAGGACCCTAGGCTGCTCATATAGGTCGAACTTCATTGGTTTAGCACCGTGCTAAGATTGTATAAGTTGTATTTTGATTGGTGGATAAATCATGTGATAAAAAGCCGGACGTAAAGTCATAACAATATATCCTATGGTTAGTTGCCCATAATCAGTGATATTATCCAATTTGCTAATAATCTAGTTCATGATATCAAAACTCTCTTTATCTTAATATGTGAAATATGAGAGGGGGAAGATATAATGATTACAATAATTCACTTCATCACAATAGATCGATTAATTATGTCAATTATACAAGTATTACCTTCAAAATCATTAACAATATGAGAATATGTAATGAATAAATTGACATCTCCAATCATAGAAAATATTTCTGCATTTTCATAATCATTTAATTGTGATTCAATTGTATCCGTTTTATTATTATTCAATAACCAATAATCTTGATATAATTGTTTACTAAGTAAAATAAAAGTTAATCGATCATCTAAATTACACCATTGTTCTTGGGCTTCAAATTCCTTGATATAGAATAATGTTTGTTTTTTTTTAAAACAAAAAGAGATCAGATATATGAATATTCAGAAGGGGTTTTGTGGAGATCTTAGAAATTTCACTGATTGAAATCATGAGTTAATTGAAGCTAGAGCACCATGGAAAACCTGGAAGCATTGGACGGCCGTTTTGTCCTATTGTTGGAATCCTCAGCAGTGCGCATCCATGATCCCGTACCCCTCGAGATTCGAACCCAGGAATTATCAGTCTCGCGCCAGGCGCTTAATCAATTAGACCACTGAGCCGGCATCCAACGGCTTTCCATGGTGGTCTAGCTTCAATTGACTCATTATTTCAACCAGTGAAAAATAAATATTCGTCAAGATTAGAATGAATAGTTTGATAGGAATTGAGCGCCGAATATAGAGAAGTCATTATATGTGAAAATTATTATATTTAAAATAATCTCAGTGTTTGAAACTTAAAGTAACAATTTCAACGTTTCGTCCAACTAACTTGTTTGGACTTCTTCAGGGTAGAATAATCAAAATTATTAAAGATGGATGAAACGTTGGAATCATTTCAATTTCAATCACTGAGATTATTTTAAAAAGATTAGATATTTTCAAAGAAAACTACAAAATTATATATACATATATATGTGTGCAACCCTTAGACAATATATGTAATCTATTTACCATATTTCTATACATGATAATGAGAAATTATATAAAGAATAATGATACTATCCAATTGCCTTAATCGAAGTAGAGGGAGTAACATCGAGTTCTTGGACTACCGAACCGACGCTTCAATATATGACATAAGCTATATACAACCAGATATCGATGGTATATATATGATCGATTCACCAGATACTTTATTTAGTGTAGAGTAAAATGACAATAAATCAGATACCATCACTCTAGAACTTTTTTATTGACGTTCCATAGTTCATTATAGTTGATTTTACAGAAACTATTTTTGTTTCGCCATCAAATGTGATAGGGTTGGTACGGAACTAATACTTTAGAAAAAATTCCATGTATATACGATTGTACAGTTTGATAATAAATTCGTTGAAAAAAGATTGCTTCAATGAACTTCCTGTTTTTAACGTTAAATGGGAATTATATATCAATTGGGAATAATGAATAGTAACGAAGTTGAAAGAATTATAGCAAATTAACTTATTATGCGATAGTACTAATAGTAGTAGTATATAGAACACGTATATGAGAATATTTTAACAGTTAAATTGATTTTAAGACAAATACGCTGAACTCATCCATACTCTAATGTTGAATGAACCTAGAAAGTCACGCTATCACTTGTAAAATGAATACTGAAAATCCAAATTAAACAACTGAATATCCTGTGTACCTATATTGATCGTGCTAAACTAGTAACAATTGCTCAAACTACATTAGTTGGATGTGAGTGGCACAAATGCGACTAAATTGCCGCAGACAGACATAAAAAATACACTGGAAAAAACATTGTAGTCTATGTATGTGTATGTAGTCTATGCTATATACCTGACAGACTACTTGTCACATTATAACATTTAAAAAATCCCCAATTATAAAGATTATTATTAACTCTTTAACATAATTTCGGTCCCAAGCCCAGATAACGTTTGGGCATGGAGTCTGTAACCCATCCCATAGAAAGCAACCTTGTTAAAGAAATGCTAACAAAAAACCACTTAAACCATTTAAACTCTGTCCTCCGAATTGAAAGAAGAATTATAAAGCAACATGATGAAAGCCGATATTCTTCGGAAATCAATGGTTCGATGCTCCTTCTAGCAACCAGAGCAACAATTAATATAGGTACATGTAATGTCGTAAAATGTAGGAAGCTAGGAGGACTAATCAAATGGCTGTGGAAACGAGGGGATACAACTTGGCAGTTCTCGAAATAAGTGAAATCCTTCGGACGTAGGTTAGACAGAAAAGATTAGTATCGATAGAGGTACTGTTGCACTTTAGTCGTGAAGAAGAAAATTCTTGGTGTTGTGACACGAGAAGCTGCATAGATGTTATCTAAAGAAGCACAAAAAACACTGATAGGATGGGAATCTCATGGATCAAGAATTGTCGAAGCACCCTTCAAAACACAGGAGGGAATTACAATGAGGTGACGCACGGAATCCAATGGACAGCTTCGATGCGACTAGATGATTTGTATTTCTCAGATAACCTAGCTATCCTATCCAATATGCAGCAACAAATTCAGATAAAGATGATCAGTGTATCAGCAGACTCTTCATCAGCAGACCCCAACATATACAAGAGTAAAAGCAAGACCCCAAAATACAACACAGGCAACTCCAACACACTCATACTTGATGCAGAAGGGGTGAAAAGTTTTTACGCGTCTGGTCAGCATCATCGAAGAACAAGGAGGATCTGGTGCATATGTGGAGGCAAGGACTAACAAATTACGGGCAATATTCCTACAACTGAAGAATATCTGGAACTCAAAAGAACTGTCAGCCAAGATCAGTCACAATCTTCAGTACGAGCGTCAAGACAGTTCTACTGTACGGAGTTTAAAATTGGAGAACTAATACAACCACCATCAAAAAGACACAATTATTTATAAACAGTTGTCTGGTCAAGATACTCAATGTCCGCTGACCGGATACCAGCAGCGACAACCTACTGTAGGAAAGAACAAACCCGCTTCCAGCTGAAAAAGAAATTAGGGAAAGACATTTAGGATATATAGGGCATATATTGCGGAAATCATCAAACTGGATCATGAGGCAATCCCTAACATGGAATCCTGAAGGTAAAAGGAAGAGAGGAAGACCAAGTAGTACACTGCTTGGTAATCGGAGGCAAACATTATAAGAATGAATAGTAATTGAAGTACAAGTGGGAAGGACTTTCTATGACAGAGTTCGATGACCAATCCTGGTGGGCGGTGTTATCCGTCCACGAGTGATAACAGGTGTAAGTAAGATACCTGTAAACAAATTACGAATCATCTGACAACAAGGCCTAGAAAAACAATTCAATCTGTTCGAGAATGCGGGTCCGAATCTTGGATGCGCATTGATGCGGAGTCCCGTAATAGGACAAATGACCATTTAGTGCTTCCAGGTTTTCAGATCATATAGTGAGTCAAGCTATGAGAATTCTACAATCCTCACAAATTCCCCTACGCTAAGCCATATTTGCTTGAATTATGGAGCAGATAGAACTATATGGATCATTTTGAATAATATTGTATGCAGTGGGACAAGCAACATTTTTTATCGTCAATTAGTAAATTATCGTACGATCACACATCTCCAATCATACAGTTGCTAGTTAAGGGAATATGCTAACGACTACTTTCTGACAAAGCATTCATGTGAAAATAATTATTAAGCAGACCAGTATTTAATAACCTGAGTGTGGTGCGACAGTATTAAAACTTGATATCAAGCTCAAGAAATGGATTCCCTTAAGCTCTCAATTTCTTAATTTATAATCCGGACATAGCTGTTGTATTACTTTTAGGACGTGACTATGATTATTGATTTGTTTCGATAAACGATCGATCAAGTTGACAAATTATCTATTAAGAATAATTGGGTATTAGTCACTGCAGCAGTGTCCGCTCAAATTGGGATGGGAATTCTATCACAGTGCCTGGGATTATTCTGTTTAACATGATATTGGAGCCGTAATAGTAAATACAAAATCAGAATTCTTGTCAGAGTAGACCGATAGCGTTTTTATTGAGGACAGAGATGATAAACAAGTCTTACAAGGTAACCTTCATAGTTATGTAGATTAGATTAAGAGACCATGTACAATCAAATCAAAAGATTTTATTGTGTGGCAAATTGTCTATTATAACCACTCACCATATATTTCAACTATTTTATGTCAGGCCGAACATTTTATGCTCTTAAGTATTAAAAGGCGTCTAGAAAATACGACAGCCAGTCCGGGTGTAGTCAGAGATCGTCAATGTTTTCATCCAATCAGAGTGCAAATTAGCCTACGGTAGGTTACAGAAGTATTCGAGACCAACTTGAGTTCTGCAAAAGTTTTTGTTGTTGTGGACACTTTACAGCTTTGACGGTAATATAGTGAAGTCTCAAAAACACAGCAGAAAAGCGGCTGTTCTTACAGAAAAAGTAGAAACTTCAGACGGCGTCAAAAGAGTAAGTACTTTTTTGGTTACAGGACTTCTCGACACATTTCATGAAAAGCGACCGAAACGATGAGACCCACTCAATCGGACTTACTGTAGAACGGGGGGAGCTACTGCTTAATTTTAAGTAACGATTGACGTGGCAACATGTCTTATTCCAGGACCCACAGGCAACTCAAACAGTAATCCGAAAATCATGATCGAATAAGATTAGGTTGCCTTTCTCATCGAGTACAATCTGAGGACAGAGTTGTCGGAAGATTCTTTTGAACAGAAACTAGTTTACGCGGCTATAACATGCGCCCTAGTGTAACTTGTGGAGTAAGCAACTAGGCACGACCCAGATTCAGAATTATCCTTACTAGATCTCATATTGACCCAATACTAATATGAAGTCACAGACCTCCATTACCCGCCACCCTCAGGTAAGTGTTACCATGAAGTCCTAATCTTCGATTTCCATAAGCTTGTCTACAACGATGTGTCAGCCAAACGTCTGGAAAACAAATATACAGGAATTGTACACCTGGCAGATTGGACAATAGAATCCCTACTGAGACGGCTAGAGATATATTCTGAAATTTATACACAAAATTCACTGCACTGAGGGACTCTTCACAGTGGTTCAGTAAGAAGGTTCGCATCCTTCTCTGTACAAGAACATGAGATTTAGGCTGCCCCGTACTGACAAAAACTTCAATTTCGGTAAGCCCAAAATATTTGCATCTCAACCCTCCGCCCGTCTAGAAGAGTTTGCCAAGAACTCTATAAAATGCTCTAAACGCTTATACTCGAATATAAACCAAGGGACTAAGAGAAGAGAAGGTACACTAGGATTATGAGTAGACACTAGTACTACATCATTAGTGACGGACGATTATGGTGAAGCTCAGGTATTATAAAATTACTTTTGCGATAAACATACAGTTGATATGCCCTTCCCTACATTTTCTACAAACCCCTCCACACACACTGACGATTATAGAACTCGATATTTTTGATTGGCTGAAGAAGCTTGGAACTGGAAAAATTTCGTGGAACCCAATGGAGTACATTCTAGACGACTAAAGGAATTGACAAAATTTGTCGCGAATCCATTGACCATGTTTTAGTCTATCAGTAAGCTGAAATATATTACCAAAAGACTGGATCAGCGCTTCAAAACAGGCACGAGACACACCTGAGAACTATCGACCCATAAGGATAACCAGGGTGATTGACAAAATTCGAAAGAGGACTATTTAAAAGTTTATCAAGCATCTAGACGAAAACCGAGTTCTTTCTGAGAATCAGCAAGGTTTTAGAACATGTTGTTTATGCCACACAAACTTATTTGTAGCTAGTGCGCTCCCGAAGGCCAAAAGTTACTAACCAATGCAACCGACATTGACTTTAGTAAGGCTTTTGACAGAGTTCCTCACAACTGAATGTTACCTAATTTAACAGATATCGGGATGAGAGGCAATTTTTATTTGTGGAAAAAGGACTTCCTAGTTGGACAACACCAGACAGTATGAAGCGAATAGGAAGTTGTCTAGCTGTGAAACTGCTTAGAGGAGTGCCTCAAGGTACAATTTTGGGGCATATTGTCCCTTCTGTATTTAATTGGCATTTTTCGCCTAATTTAACCTATTTTTTGTATGCTGACGACTTCAAGTTGCGGAGGTCAATAAGAATGGAAGTGTTTTTGCGGAATCTTAAAATGACCTTCGGAAAACATGTGAGTTGTCTAGTGCATTATGATTCGGTCCACCTAAGTACAAAAACATGAGATGGTGGAGATTTGTAGCTCAGGCGGATGATTTTGATGGAGTTTTGTTCTCTGAACTGGATGGTTTGGTTGTGGAGCTTTCATCGTTCTTCTGAACATCATCAGCACAAACTACTGTGCGATAGCTGCCAAAGGTTTTAGAACCCCATGGTCAATAGGTAAAGCCCCCAAACATTTTGTTGCTAAAATTTTTTCACTTTGTATACGGTGCCCGTTCCCCATAAACTCGAGTACTGCATACAATCGGCTAGCTCCTACTCAAAATGATACACGGAACTGTTGGAGAACGTACGAAGAGCCGCAACTAGCCTGGTTCCCAGAACCGTGAAGCCCGCGTATGGTAGACTGGCTAGACTAAATCTACTTTCCTTACCAAACGGACGAATCAGATGGGACTAAAATACAGTTTTCAAATTAATTATAAACCCGAATACGACTTATTCTCATTTTCCTTGTCTCACAAAACAGACTCTACAAGGATACTAAAAGTTTACAAGCCCAGGACGAATTAATTGTCAGATGACAACCAGCTTACTACCTCAACACGTGATTAAAACTCCATCTGTAGACACTTCCAAAAGGAAGTTGAACCAACTGAAAAAACACCATAGGCCACACACCTTCCTATTCTTCTCAAAATCGAAACAGTAGGCAACAATTGTGATACCCTTGGAGAACCGTGTTCTTGCAAATAAAACACGACCCGTGTATTGGCACAGACTGATTGGATTATACGGAACATAAAAGATTCTCGACTGCATGGTCACTGTACAAACGTTACGAATATTGCACGATAGAAAGGAATACATACTATAAATTTAAGCAACTGAGCTATGTTATGCAACGAAAAGGTACTAGAAAAAATATTTGGGACGTGACGAGATTACCTATAATACTTTTATGTCTAGCACCGATGTAGATATGTGTGATTCAAGTGAGTCTCACCAGTAGATATCATAATAAATCAAGGTTTTGGTGAAAATCACAACGGATTGCACCAAATAGGTTATCACGAATATAACCATAAGTAAAAGTCGGAATGACGAACTAAAAACTCACTATCTAACCTTTTAAAAGTACTCCGAATTAAACTTTTAAGTCACATATGCACTACGAGACTAAGTCGTATGTAACTGATTGCATAACTTACGGTACCTCGTCCAGTGTAAGCTGTTCCGAAGATGTACTTGCTCTCAACCACGAATCTTGCATCCAACTGTGATACTTTGGAACATAGATGCGGAGATATGGGACCATAAATAGTCGAGATGTTTCCAATACTGTTTCTTGATTTAGTCTCATCCCTAAGCAAAATGTAATTTAACAGTTAACACCCCGTTTCAACCATACATGAAAAAAAGTCAGAGTACCAAACACATATATTTGTACAACTAATCGGTCTTTGTTGTTCTAGTGTATATTTGTTGTGAATTGTGTTTGCAGACCATTTTTATGGAACCTAGCATGGGATTTGAGACAGTAAGAGAGAAAACCTACCTCGTCGCCACAACTCCTCGAGAGCATGACGTGCCAGTGACGCCCGAATTTTTAGCCGTTCTGACACAACAGAAGGCGTTATTACCTTGTACTGTGGGACTTCTTTCAGTAGCTTTTCAAAAGTAGCGTTATCGAACAACACCATATTAGCAAGTTTATCCCGAACTTTTCCTTTAGACCATTTTTTCTTTTTTGCTTTCCCACCACCCTCTTTGGGTTTCATAGGCTTTTTCGACGGTTCTTTCTTTCCACCTTTCGAAGCTTGCTTTGGTGGCTAAGGACATAAGCTTACGTGGACTACAACACTTACCATGTTTACAAAGCGTGGGCAAGCTAACTCGTTAAACTGGCTCCGTCAACCGCCAACGGACGCTGCCAATGTACAATGTCTCAGTACGAAACTCAATGTCTTCAGTCTTCAGTAATAAGGATAGGAGGTCTATGAACCTATATTAATCCTTTCAGTTGGTGATACTGTGGAAGTCCAATCTCGTTTTGAATATATTAACAGAAGGTGATGATATTACGTGTTCCCGTAGAGAATTCCAGTAATTCACTACTCTGTACGAGAAACGAAACCCCAGACGTAAACGATTTGATCTCAGTTTTTGAACTTCGAGTGTCCTCTCAAATGATCAGCCCTAGACAAAAGTAAAAGACATTACGTTAATACCAAGTTCATCGTTCAGTATACGATAAGCCAATATTAGATCACCCTATACTCTATGGTAAGATAACGGAAATAAGTTAAGGTGTCTCAGTCTGTCTTCATAAGATAGGCCAGATAGACCTTGTACCATCTTAGTACCTCGTCGTTGGACTCTTTCCAGCATCTCCGCTTCATACTTAGAACAAGGACTCGCTGCTTGAATCCCATATTCGGGATTACCCTGAAACGCAATTTGTTTCACACGTCGCACTTCAGTTTAACTCTGCTAGTGACTTTTGAATCTGTCCGTTATATCATTTTTTCACAGATATTAGAGAAGCGGAATAAAATGTTTTAGCGATAGTAAATTTTCATGGATAAATCAGATTCAGATTTGTGTAGTGAGGACAGAAGGCCTACGGCATACGTTATGCCTCTTCAAATATGCTTCTCTGAGTGTCTATTCTTCTCCTGAATGAGTTCTTTTGAGAGAGCGATGTGACCTCTTCTGATTTAGGGGACAGCAGCATTCAATATTGTGCACTCCGTTTACCATTCTTATGGGAAGTGCCTGAATCCCTAATATGTTTTTAACATGCTCCACAAAGTGTTCTCGCAGGCCAACCTCCCTGGTAAGCAATGCGCTTATTTATATTGTAGATGTTAGGTGATTACGCCAAATCGAGAGTTCACATCACGTCAATTGGTGGGTTTCGTGAGTACGAAATCGATAAAGAGAACTGTCTTCTGCGCTACTTCTTCGCAACTGCTGATCAGATAAATTTGACAACTCGTTTTCTTGATGTTGTTGGTTTTGAAAGGGACCTACAAAACCAATAATGGAGATTTATATTTGTATCAAATAGTTGCATTGGATATGAATTTAATGGCATTAAATGATATTTTTATTTGTCAATGGTTGCAAATAATTTGATGGCACAGATCATTCGAATGATATTAAGCATATGTTTGACTTAATGTGTATATTTTTATTCATAATTAATGAGGCAGTTGGCTGCTAATTCTTGTGTTTCATTCAGAACGGAACTATGGTGATAAGTCACTTAACAAATATTAATAGAATATCTTGAAAATCTCTTAATTTGTACTTACATTTGACCGATTGTTGTATGTTATGATGAGAAGTCAGCATTAGCAGATAAACAATTGTCCCATCGTATAAAAATATAAAAACCTTCATTGTTATGGTTTATACTTAGACCATAGTAACCTTTAGTTTGAAACACATGTGTTTGGAGTGTTCATACCAATATTTACTCTAAATAAGAACACATGTTTTTAAAAAAATGCGATTCACAGCATGAATTAGTCATTCAATTTATATGTTTATCAATAAGGAATTTAAGTCAGTTAAGGAAATTCTATAGCAAAAAACTGTCCAGCGTTGCTGTCAAATCTTCTCTTGTGAAGAGATCTGTCAAAAGCAAAAGATCTTTCTCAAAACCAGGTTGTTACCTGACTAGGATATCATCCCCTTCCATATAGTTTAAAACAGCTATCCGAATAACCTATTCTTTTAATTTGACAACTACACTGATTAGACCAAAGGCACGATAGTTACTAGTTTTCCGCCCCCGCTTTGTAAACTGGACTTGTAACTACACTTTTTCTGATCTTTCAAGAGTTTAGGATGCTTCATAGACAAATCAAACAGCACTATCGGATGTTCTGCAGTTACATCCACCAGAGCTTTCATAATCCAAAGATGAATATATTGTCGGGGCCACTAAACCCACCAATTTCGAGATGTCGAAGTAATGACAAAACACTGTAGCGGTAAATAAATCTCCAAAATAAATAGCTCTGTAAGTTTTCGACATTGGATGCTGACCAGATTAGTTTTAGTGGACTCACCTAGCTGAAGGCGCTCGGTCATGCATCCGCACCAGATCACGTGTGGGAACGCGGTGCTCAACATCTACTGCAATCGCTAGCCAGACTAGATCAGACAATTCCTATATAATGGCAATCGTCAAATACAACTTCTGATCTCCCCGATTCTTTCTTTTGATTTTTCTCGGTGGGTACGACTTATATTAGAAGGTGTTACTGGTAAAGGCGTTGTCAAACACTGAATACCTGTACCATCTTCATTGGTGAGACCGACGTGATCTAGTGCACCTAATTGCAACTGTGAGTCTGTTCCTTTTTGGGATTTTTATATATTATTACCTTATTTTTTTATTTTTTATACATTGTGATATTTTTTCCCCGTGTCTCAGGATATCTATATATTTTTCCCTTGTATTCTCGTACTTAATATTCCCCTATGACCGAACAGACTCCTGAGGTATTTAAGATTAAGACCATGTTCCAATTCATGCCCTTCTGGCCCGACAATATCGAAGCCTGGTTTTGCTACACAGAAGCCGACTTCCACGAGCACGGCGTGAACGACACACGTGCACAATTCCTCGCAGTAGTCAAGGCACTACCGCGCGAATTCAACAGTTACGTAACACATAGTATTTTTACTAGTGATGTTTATGAACCGTACAAATTCTTAAAGCGTTCGATTCTTAAACGAGGATACCTAACCGATCGACAAAGGTTAGATCAACTCTTCAATAACATTGACCTGCAACACGGTTCTGCGACAGACATGTTGCAACGGATGAGGGAGGTTATAGGCCTAAGAACTTTCGATGAAGGCCTATTCAAACAACTTTTCTTGTCTAAACTTCCCCAACAGGTGCAAGCGGTTCTGGTCTCGTTTCATAACAACGCCTTAGACGAGCTGGCTGCACCTACCAATCGCATCTTAGAAATTACGAAATCTTCTACTACCGATGTTTTTCAGTCAAAGAAAAGCCTCACACGACGCAGAATGACATAACCGAGTTATGTCATACACTTACGCGTTATCTCAATTTTCGTAACGACCGTAAGCGATCACACACTTCACGTAGAAGCACTTCACGTAAGCGATCTGTCTCTAGACCACGGGAGACGGATAATCCCGACTGGTGCTGGTATCACAACCAGTATGGAAAGTCTTTCAGAAATTGCAGAAAACCCTGCAATTTTCCCATCTCAAAACCGACTGACTCGAAAAACAACTCGGGAAACTTCCAACCCGGCACGCGTTAACGGCAACTGTAGCCGGCGAACATAGCCGTCTGTTATACGTCACAGATGTGACAACGAAAGTCCGCTACCTCGTCGACACTGGCGCAGAAGTTAGCGTTCTCCCAGCGAATCCCAACGACCGGCTTCACGAATCAGCTCTAAACTTACACGCGGCAAACGGAAAACCTATCGCTACGTATGGCAAAAGGTACGTTTACCTTAACGTGGGTTTACGCAAACCCATCCACTGGATCTTCGTTGTTGCAGATGTATCTATGCCAATCATTGGTATGGACCTTCTACAACACCATAATCTAATCATCGATACGCGCAAACGGAGGCTAGTAGACGGAAACACTAATTTATCCGTTTGCGTAACTTCTTTTTCTGGTTGCAGATTATCCCCAGTCACAATTAAGCATACGATAGACCCACTTTATCAACCAGTACTCGATAAGTATCCTGGGATTCATCAAACACAACCGAAATTACCATGTGTAACTAGCATCGTTACACATCATATCACGGCTACGGGACCACCTGTATTCTCTAAAGCACGACGACTAGCCCCTGAAAAGCTAAGGTTGGCGAAAAACGAGTTCGATCACATGATAGACTTGGGAATCATACGACCGTCAAATAGCCTATATGCATCTCCGTTGCACATGGTCCTTGAAAAGGACAGCAACGATTGGCGTCCAACTGGTGACTATCGACGATTGAATGCAAAAACCATTCCCGATCGTTACCCGTTGCCTCACATTCACAATTTGACAGCTACCTTGAAAGGTACAACTGTCTTTTCGAAAATCGACTTGGTTAAAGCGTATAACCAAATCCATATGACTACAGACGATATACCGAAAACAGCTATCATAACTCCCTTCGGACTCTATGAATTTTTGCGAATGCCTGTCGGTCTAAGAAATGCTGCTCAAGCATTCCAAAGATTCATAGACGACGTTTTTCGAGGTCTCAACTTCGTACATGCGTATTTTGACGACTGCCTAATCGCAAGTCCGGACAGAGAATCGCATCTCAAGCATTTGGATCTTGTTTTCGAACGACTACAAAAA